GAAGCGGAAGGATGAGGAGACCAGTGTGTCTGAAGCAAGCAGGAGTATACTGAGGGCCAGTCTTTTACAGTAATGGAATTTTTTTAAAGGTACAGTCGCGGCATTTTTTAGTCACATCTCACATATGACTTTAATTTCTTCTAAGGCTAATATTTAGATGTAGAGAAGTGTTAAACCCGATTTTGAGAAGCACATGTAGTGGTTAAGAGCACACGCTCTGAGACTGGAATCTTAGTTCTGATGGTGTAGGCACTGGTCCCATGACATCATATCTGTGTCCTTCAATTTCTTCGTGATCGATGCGATAACAATACAGTTTTAAATGATGTGAAGAGACTTTAGCGAGTAAGTATTTCTAAAGTGCCTGTCATAGTATTTGGCACTTGGTAACTGTTAGAAAGTGTTTTTTAAATGGAAGTGAATATAGCTACATATAAAACACATTCTATTAATTTATCTCAAATAATGATTTATCCCTAAGAGTTGCAGTATTCATTTTGTTTACATGAATGACCATGTTTGTGTCCTTCTCTGTTTAACTTCTACAGCTTATCGTGAGCCTCATTATTATTACCAGTTCACAGCTCGATATCATGCAGCTCCTTGCAATAGTATCTATAATATTTCTTTCGAGAAGAAACTTCTTCAGATTTTAAGCAAATTGGTTCTTGACCTTTCCTGTGAGATCTCCTTACTTAGGTCTCAGTGCCATCGTATCAAAATGCAGAAAGCTGGCTTGCAAAATGAATTGTTCTTTACATTTTCAGGTAAGTATATGCAAAATTTAAAAAATAGTTGAAAATGCATAACCAATTTTAAAGACATGGTAATTATCACAAGCATTTTTAGAATATAAATGTTATAAATATATTTTCTGCTCTCGACTTTGACTTCGTAATAAATCCCACAGATAAAATCCTACTGAGTCGTACATGTGACGTAAAGTTTACTCCCTGAACTATCTTAAACCCTGGAGTGGTAATTTACTATGAAATGAAACTCAGTATAGTGTTCTATCAAGATATTAAGTTACAGAGATTACATTTTGTAAAATATGTAATTATAAGATGGGTTAATATTGTGCTTTTAATAATGCAGAATGGTCTCTAAGGACTTTAGGTTTATAAATGGTCTGTTTATGAGAGCTCTCTTAGGAATACCGACTGTGTGCTTTATAGGACATGCTGTTCCCATTTCATCTCCTTTGCAGCTGCTTGCTGTAGTCTTTTCTTTCTTCCCTTCCTTTATTTTCCTTTATTTGTCTGCTCTTAGTATTTGATTATACTTACCCATTTCACTCACTTCCCTCCTCTCTCCTGCTCCCTCCCTCCCTCTCTGTCATCTAAAGTAGATATTATAGAGACACAGTTGAGAAGCATGTAGCTTTAAAGGTAAAGAACAAGAGTTCAACCTCATTTTCAGTCTTTTATCTTCCTTATTGCTTTCTCTCCTCTTCTCCAGGAAATGTGGAGAATTTTTCACTAGTCCCCGAGACAAATTACTAGCAATAGACTCACTCTATCTTTAGCTCTTCCAGGACCCATTACTAGCATTCAGTGGGGAAATGAAAGCTTTGTTCCCTGGTCTATTTCATGGGCAGACAAGTCCTTGGTGTAGGTAACATTCAGTAGAAATGAGCCATTGTGAAGTTGTTTGCATTTCCCAATGACTGATGTTGTCAATAATCTTTTTGTGTGTTGTTGGCCATTCACGCATCTCCTTGAAGAAATGTTTGTATTGAAGCCCTTTATAAACTAGGTTGTATTTCTCTTGTTCCTCAGTTGTAAGAGCTCTTTTTGTAGTCACAGAGTATTGGTTTGTTTCTGGAATCCCTATCCATTTTATGGCTGTATAGTGCTGTGGCCCCTAATGCCAGCAGCAAATCATTTAGTTACTGCAGCTTTCTGATGGGGTTTAGAATCAGGAAGTGAGAGTCCTCAAACTTTGCATTTCCTTTTCAGGGTCCTTAGTCAATCAAGGGTGATTACATTTCCATATGAATTCTGCTGTCTGCTTCTCCATTCCTGCCTTAAAAACTCCTTAGCATTTTGATAGGGATCACAGTAAATCTGTACATAGGTTTGGATGTTGTTATGACTTATGTCTAGATGTCCCCCCCAAAGTTCATACGGTTATAGGTGGGGCTTTTTCAGAGGTGACTGGATATAGAATGTGTGACATTGGGATTAATTAATGGTGCGGTGCCAGGATCAAGGGCCTTAGGCTTAAGGGTGTGAATGCTTTCTCTCCTGAGTAGCCTGGGTAAGATACAAGGGATAGAAAGAGCTGTGGTCGTCCCTTGTTGCTTTGCTACCCTCTGCCCGCAGTGAACTGTTTCTCCTCTGCATGGCCACCTTGACTTGGAGCCAGCTGATTATGGGCTGAAACCTCTACAGACTGTGAGCTAAAAAAACCTTCCTTCCTTTAATTTGGGTGTAGGGTATTTTGTCTCAGCAAGGAGAAAAGTAACTAAGACAGATATTATTGCCATATTAACAGTATTGTCTTCCAGTTCATGACCACAGGGTACTTTTGCATTCATTCAGGACTTCGTTACTTTCTTTCAGTGGGGTTTTATTGTTTCAGTATAGCGGACTCACTGGCAAATTTACCCCTAAATAAATTACTCTTTGTGATGCTCTTGTAAATCAACTATTTTCCTAATTTCCTTTTCACTGTACATATTTTATTAGAATTATACCTAAGTATTTCATATTTTTAAAAGGTAAGGGCATTGGACTTTAATTTCAATTTGTGTTGTTTTATTCAGGTCACAGGACAGCAGTTCATTTTGGTTTTTAAATTTTTTATTGTGTAAATTTAAGGTGTACAACGTGTTTTTTTTGTGAATATGCATATTGAAGTGCTTATTACAGACAGATACTCGTCATATCCACCATATGGGTATGTTGTATCTCTACAAGGTGGTGATTTCATCTCCTTTTGGCTGTATATCTACAGGAAAGGCTGCCGGGTCATATGATCGTTCTGTTGTTAATTTCTTTAGGTATTTCTGTATTTTTTTTAACGATCACAGCAGTCTACGAGGACATTCCCACCAACATTATACAAGAGCTCACTTCTCCCACTCCCTCCATAACATACTGATCGCTTATCTTTTTGATTATGGCCAACTTAACAGTTATGAAAAATATCTCACTGTGGCTTTGATGTGAATTTCTCAAACAAATACTGATACTGAATAGCTTTTCATATACCTGTTGGGCATTTTTATATATTCTTTGGAAAAATTTTCATTTGGATCTTTTGCCTATTGTTAAAACATGTTACTGTGTTTTTCCTGGCATTGTGTGAGCTCCTCATGTAATTTGGATATATGTACAGCTTCACAAAGCTTTGAACAAGCTCTCCAGCTTGATGTCATCCTCATTGTCTATTTTTGCTTATGTCGCTTGAACTGTTTACATCCTGCTAAAAAGTCATTGCCAGCACCAGTGTCCAGCAGTGCTCTCCCTTTGTTTTCTTCTGGGAGTTACGCAGTCTCAGGTCACAGCTCAGGTGCTGTGATTTTTATGTGCGGTGTAAGTATGTGATTTTATTCTCTTGCGTGTACATATCAATTTATTGAAGAGATTATCCTTCCTCGCTGTATTGTCTTGGTGCCCTTGTTGAAAATTAATTGACCATGTATGCTCGGGTTTGTTTCTGGGCTCTTCAATCTGCTCCCCGGGGCCGAGTGTACATTGCTATGCCAGTACTGTTTAGTTATTGTAGCTTTGTACACAAAAATCAGAAACTTGTGCTTGCTCAGCATTTCTTTGGCCACGGAACCGTTCTGATTCTCTACACATTTTAGACATTGTTTATTAATGTCATATCTTGAAACCTTGCTGTAATTACTTATTCCTGCCAATTCTTTCATTGATATTTTTGGTATTTTCCGTGTAGACAATCATGTCATCCATGAGGAGTTTAATTTCTTCCATATATATGTGTACACAAGCACCTTTCATTTCTTTTCCTTGTCGTAGTGTGATGCTGAGTAGTGGTGGACAGAGGATGTATCCTCCCTTTTGCCTGATGGTAGGGACAAAACCTGTATGAGTTTTTTCTTTTTATCATGGTGGTAGCTGTGGTGAGTCTGTTAGAGCTGTTCTTTATGAAGCTGAGAGTTTGTTAGTTTGCGGAGAGTTTTTGTCAAGAAAAGGTAATGAACTTCATGCAATGCTTTTCCACATCTACCACATGATTGCTTTTCTTTACTCTGTCAGTGTTTGATTTGTACATGTTGAATCAGACTTATTTACCTGGCTTAAATCCCACTTCATCATTAGCTATATTACTTCCTAATACATTACTGGCTTTAGTTTGCTACTATTTTGTTGATAATTTTTACATCTATGTTCATTAGTGATATCAATCTGTAGTTGTCCTCTCCTGTATTGTGTTTATATGGTTTTAGTATTAGGGTAATCCTGTCCTCATAAAATGTCTCCTCCCATTCTGGAGTGAATGCATGTATTCTCTGGAATATACAGTTGGCCTCAGTATAATTTATTTCTTAAAATTTTTGGTAGAATTTACCAATGAAGCATCTTTTTCAAGTGCTATTTGGGGCTGGGGATACAGCTCAGCAGCACAAGCACCTGCTTAATAAGTGCACGGTCCTTAGTTCGATTCCTGGTACAAAAAAGAAGAGGTGCTATTTGGAAAAGTGCTATTTGGAAAAATAGTTACTCAGTTTTTTAAATTGATATAGAACTGTTCAAATTTTCTTCTTATTCTTGTGTGAGTTGTCATAGATTCTAAGAATTTGTCCATGTCAACTACAGCATCACATTTGTGGTGCTTTTCTTAATATTTTCTTAATATTCTTTTAAAGTCTCTAAGTCAGAAGTAATGTGACTCCTTTATTTCTTATATTGGTGAGTGTGGAGTCTCTTTTCTTACAGGGATTTATCAGTTAATGCTTTTAGACAACTAGACTTTGATTTCACCATTTTGATTTTCTGTTACTAATTTTATTGATTTTTGCTCAAATTTTTGTATTATTTTCTGTTTTCTTGAATTGAATTTGCTCTTCCTTTTAAAAACTTCCTAAATGGAAATTTCAGTTATTGAATTTATATAATTTTTCTTCTCTAGTCCATAGTTTCAAAGTATAAATTTCTCTCTAAGCACTTTTCACTGCATGCCACAATTTTGATAAGTTGAATTTCCATTTAGTTTGAAATATATAATTTTTATTAAATTTGATATTGTGAATGAGTATGTTATTTAATGTCCAAGTATGTTTGTGTTTTCCATCTATTTTTCTGTCATGGGTTTCTGGTTTAATTCTCTTGTGGTCTGAATGCATACATTGTGCAATTTCTGTTCTTTGAAATCTCCTTAGGTATTTTTATGGCCCCAAATGTGGTCACTCGCATGAATATTTCATGTGATCTTGAGAAAGAGATGTAAATATTCCGCTTCTGTTGCATGAAAAAATACCTCTCTGGTACCCTTGACTGATGTTGCTCACAGGTCTCCTATGGTCTTCATTTCCTGCTTTCCGGACTTTTTAGTTACCTGTAGGAGGGTACTGATGTCTCCCTAGATAATAGTGACTAGTGGGTTATTCTTTTCTTTGCACTTTTACCAACTTTTGTCTTAAATAGCTTTACACTCTCGTTATTCCATACATGTGAAGGATACTCATGTATGTGGAGAATTTACCCCACTATCATAATAAAATGAGTCCAGTTATTCCTGATACTTTTTCATCCTGATTTCTATTTAGTTTTCTCTAAATTCAGGATAGCATAGTCTATTTCTCCATTTGCTTACTTTCCATTTATGCCCTTCTGTGTGAAATGGGCTTCTAATGGACAACCTACATTCTAGCCTCTGTGGTTTTTGATAAGAAATCATACATCATGTGACTGTAGGCTCCTTGCATGTGAGAAATCACTTCTTTCCTCTGCTTTCTAGATTTGATCTTCTGTTTCTGGACTTTTGATTATGACATGCCTGAGTGTCGAATTCCTTGCATTTCTCTTAGATGTATGTGGATTCCTTTGATTCTCTCATATATGTGTATTTATATCTTTTATCAAAGTTGGGAGATTTTTGACCATTATTTCTTCAAATATTCTTTCTGTTTGCTTTCCTTTTTACTCCACTGACTCCCATTTTATGCATATGTTGATCTACCTGCTGTCACCCAGGTTACTCAGCTTTTCTTCATTTTTGTTTTTTTTTCTTCCTTCTCTGATGGAATGATTTCAGTGACTTATCTTCAGACTCACTGATTCTTCTTCCGTGTCTGCAAATCTGTTGTTGTAAATCTTTAATGGATTCCCCTCAGTTGTAATTTATGCTCTGGAGTTTTTATTGGTTTAGTGTTTATAACTTCTTTTGTTTTATCAACATTATTGGTTAAGACAGCATTTTCCGAGTTATTTTAGTATTTTGCACATGATTTTCGTTAGCTCGTTGAACGCACTGACTCAGTTGATTCAGAGCTCGGTCTAGTGAGTCTGTGTCTGCGCTGTCTCATAGGCTCTGTGGGTTCTGAGGAAGAGGAGATGTTATGAGGGTAATAGATGATCAAATTCCATGGACAGGTATTGCTGTTTGGCCAGGTGTTTATGGAAAATGAGCTACTCTGAGTCACCGTCTCTGTCTTTCCTCATCGCTGGGACCGAACACCCAACCCTTGCAGTTTAAGGGAGAAGAGAAATTTTTTGAAAAAAAAAAAAAAAAAAAAAAAGGGGGACTTTTTTGGCTCACGTTTTCTAGAGGTTTCTGTGCATAGTTGGCTGACTCCAGGCTGGAAGCAGCGTGGCGAGACGGGCCTGGCGGAGGAGAGCTGCTGCTCACGTTGTGCTGGCCAGGAAGCAGGGTGAGAAGAGACAACCAGGGAGGGAGATGCGCTCTGCCAGGTCACACCCCGGTGACCTGCTTCTGACAGGACCCCGCCTCCTAGTGACACACTTAGGTACAGCACCTCCATGAGTCAAGCCTCTCTTATGAGTGCATGAGGCTTTGGGGGACTTCTAGATATAAACCATAGCAGTCATGCACACAGCACAGGATGTATTTGAGAAGAGTCTAGAATGACTAATAGGATATGGCAAGACTTACGGGAAAAATAAAACTGCGCGTTGGTAGTAGTTAAATTGTAGATGGCATTGTTAGACTGACGGATTTGTGGTTTAGTCACATTCTCATAGCTGGAAAGAATAAAAATCGTATTATTGAGGCTATTGATTTACAGAGTAGAGAGTGGAAGCCTTAAGAAGAAATTAAACAATATGCTTGTGTTTATTAGTGATCTGGGGCTACAAGTAAGAGTTCCTTCCATGTGTTTCGATAAATAGTGGCAAGTAACTAGAGGGGATTCTGCACTTTTGGTACTAAGGCTGATAGTAGAGAAAGATTCATTACAGGAAATCTTTGAAGACATCTCTTGTTTCTTTTTCGCTTTTTGATTTCTTAGTCTTGGTTGTACTATAGGAATTTTTCTCAAGTGACCTTACAAAGATACTACTCATAAACCCATGGGATTATCCTGATTTTGTTAATTTAATATATACCAAATGCCTAGACTACTACCAGGCACATGGTAGTAGTAGATTTTTGTTAAATAAAGAAGCACATGCATAGGTGAATATCCATATAATTTCAGTTTCCGTGGCTGCTGCAGCGGTCCAACCTCATTGCCTTTCCAGGATTGTTAGCATAGTTTTGTTCTGTGTTATTTTTTGCACACTGGGATTAAACTCAGGGCCTTTGATGTTTTATTCTAAGACATGGTCTTGCTAAGTCACCAGATTGCCCAAACTGGCCTCAGACTTGTGATCCCTCCTATCTCAGCCTCCCAAGCTGTTGAGATTACCACTATCTCTGGCACCATAGATTATCACCCTTAGCGCTTGGTAGCTAGAAGTTGAGAACTGAGTTAGTCTGGTGACACACACTATAGTATATGAGCAGAGGTAGAGGACTGAATAAATGCAGCTCACATATGCAGATTTTATAAAAGTTAAAGTAATTCTATTGTTAAAATTTTATAAAATTAAAGTAGCCAAGCATTATCAAGAAGTTAATTCTTATTTATAGTAAAAGTGACATTTTCTTGGTTTTAGATAAAATAAATATGGCACTTAGATTTTTACTAAAGAGTTATTTAACATGTTAAAAGGTTGTTTAATGGAAGAAAAATATTAGACAAAGAATCATGTTAATTCTCAAAGGCCTATTTAAATTTTTTGGTGTAGTATTTGTACCCATGGTAAAATATAATTTATTTTCTCAGTTTCATCTCTAGACACTGAAAAAGGACCAAAGACATGTACAGGCAATGATTGTGAATATTTCAGAAGACTATCTAAGGTATGCTATCTATGAAAAAGAAAGAAAAATTGAATGAATATATCAGTGTGTAAGCAGGCATTTATCTACTTATAAAATACATCAAATTCCCACAGTTAGGAATTTGAGTAGTAAAAAAAACTTCACCCCAAAATAAATATGAAATAAATATAATTATAGTTTATAAAATACTTTCCCATTAAATATAATTGATTACATGAAGACAAATGCATTTTCATTTATTTGGTCTTATTTGCTATTGCTATTAGTTTAGTTTTCAGAAGAAATCATGGCTGTATCTTCCTCAGTTTTTTTCCATTTCCAGTAGATGCTTGCATGTTGACCTTACATCATGCCACTTGCTAAATTCATGACTAAGTTACAGTAGCTGTTTTATGGATTGCTGGGGATTTTTGTACAGATATTCAAATTGTACTCAGAGAGAGACATTGTTACTTCTTTCACATGCTCACATCTTCTCTTTCTTTGTCTGATCTTGTTTGAATCAGCAGGATGTGTAATATAACATTGAATAGAAGTCATGAGAGTGAACGTCTCTTGCTGTAGTCTTACGGGGAAAGCATTTGGTCTCAGGATGATGTTAGCACTAGATTTTCATAGATACCATTTCTCAAAATGAGGAAGTTCTCTTTCGTTCTTTATTTACTGGGGTATATTATGAATGCTGTTCGATTTTGGGTAATGCTTTTTGTGATTTTCTTGAAAGAAGTAGATATCTTCATCATATTTGTTACTGTTTTATTAAGGACTTTTCTGTCTCCCTTGTTATTATACACCATTCTGTGAGACATGTATCATAGAATCCATGATTATGTTTTAAAACCGCCACAGCAATAACTATAAAGACATTAATACGTGAATCCTTTCAGCATTTTCAGTTGAAAACTGTGAAGATAACTTCAGGTTAACATATAGTTTCAAGAATAATTTCAAGAGATTAAATTTTAAGAGATTCCTTGTACGGATTTTCAGATAAATGGTACACTATCACAGCGAAGGATTGGTGACTTTGCTATTGTTTAGTGCACTTCTTTAACTGTCCCCGGCTTACCTGTCTTCATTATATTGACTTAAAAAAATTTCCTAGAGATTCATTCAAGATAATACACACATCAGTGGTCTGTGCCTCACTAGCATGCCACGATGCGGCTATCACAGTGTGTCAAGCACTGGCCTGGCAGGGCCCGTTTGTGACTGCTGCAATTAAAGCTTCTGTAAAGTTCCTGTACAGGCTTTTATGCAGATATAACATTTGGGACATTAATTCTGGGTTATCTTATAGTTGATATTGCATCCCTCCCACTGTGGAGTGAGTGAGCCATTTTTCCGCATCTTTGTTGCCGTTTGGGGGTCCTTGGTATTACCTAGGTTAGCCTTCCTAATAGTCAGGCAGTAATAGCCCATTAAGGTTCGTCTGCATTTTTGTAGAGTTTCATGATGTTAACCATCTTTTCTCGTGCTTACTTGCCGCTTGTACATCTTTGGTGAAATTTCTGATAAATGTCTGATTTTCTAGTTTAATTGTTTTTCACTTCTGAGTTCAGAGTTCATATATTATAGGTCATATTCCTCTTGCCAGTTTGTTATTTATAAATATTTATTGTTAGACTGTAGCTGTCTTTTCCTCATCTTCACATGGATGTTCACAGAAAAGAACTTTTTAATTTTTATGGAATCAGGTATACCAGTTCCCCTCCCTTTTAAATTCTTCTTTTGGTGTGAAGCTTAAGAACTCTTGTATACCCTTGTACCCTGAAGACTTGGACTTTTTTATTTTAAGTTTTGAAAGTCCGATATTTAGCTGAGGACATCTTTGTTGCTGTTTTCCCGTGAGTGTCTCATCCATCCAGAACTATGGGTGAAAACGCCATCCTTCTTTCATTGCACAGCTTTAGCATCTTCGTTAAAGTATCGTGGAGCGCATCCTTGTGGGTTTATTTTTGACGGTACCAGAGACTGGGTGTTAGACAAATACCACAGTCTGCGATGCTTCACGACAGAAATCTGTTGTGTTATGATCCTGAGTCTGAGAAGTCTCAGATAAAGGTGTTAGTGGAGTTGGTTTCATCTGTGCTCTTTACCCGTGGATGGCTGTGTGTTCACACGGCCTTTCCCGGAGTGCGAGTCTGTGTCCTGATCTCTTTGCAAGGACACTGATCAGATTAGGGTTCACACTAATTACTCATTTTACCTTAACTGCCTCTTGGAGGGTCGTGTCTTTAAAGGCTATTTGCATTGGGGGGCTACGTCTTTTGTATGGCTTCATACTGGCTGTGTTATGAGCTGTAATATTCCAGTGTACTTTTGATGCTTACTGGTATTATTTTGCTACTTTAAATAAAATGTAAGACTTTTATTTCCGTTTATTTGTTCCTACCCCATCCACTTGAACAACTACAATTGTCTGATTATTTTCTCTGAGCACCATGGCAGATGGTGTTAGTAGGTTTGCTTCAGATCTGTTAGGAGAAAATCTACTGCTCAGTGACAGTTCATTTTATGTGTCATCTTGGCTGACTGAAGGATACCTAGAGCAGAAAATGAAACCACTCTTTTTGGCTGTAACTGTAAGGCTTTCTGGAATGCTTGGCGTTTGGACTGGTGGACTTAACTGGGTAAAGCCAACTGCCCAAGTCCACAAGGTGGGCGTCGTCCAGTCTGCTGAGGGCGTGGCTACAAAAGGACAGCTGGAGGGGGGTTCTTACCTGTGAGTGTGAGCTGCAGTGTTCATCACCACCTGCCTTAGGAAGCTGGCGCTCCCCATCCTTGCGCCTTGGGGCTTGGATGAGGAGGAATTTACCACCTCTCTTCTAACTCCCCCTCCCATGGGGCTTTGTACTCCTGGCCTCTCGGGCTTCTCTGGTTCTGCAGCAAATGAGTGCGGGGGTGTGGCCTCGTAACTGTGTGAACCTATTCCTGTACTGAATCTCAGCAAATAGGAGGCCATTTTGTGTCAGGGACGTAAGCCCACGGAGTTCCTTACACCGGAATGCCTGACGCAATGCAAGTGCTGTGCAAACCACTTGTTACGGAACAATGGCTAGATGAAAGTCAGTGCCTGCTCAGTACGCACACATCTTTTGAGAAATATTTTCAGTCTGTAGTTGATTGAACCCATAGGGATGGAACCTGTGGCTACAGAGGGCCGTGTGTGTGTGTGTGTGTGTGTGTGTGTGTGTGTGTGATGCTCTTCTCTGGAGGACTCTGAGTAATACAGTTTTTTTGTGACAAGATGACTCTATTGGAACAGAATTCTAAGGATGGGTTTGAAGGTTTGGCTCTGTGTTTTCTAGAATTGGTTTTCTAATCTGATTAGATTTAACGATGCTAGTGAGTGACTGCACTTTCAGTGTTACAGACATTGTTCACAGTGTGAATGATTCCGAGAGACATGAAAGTGCTGCCCTGGATTCTCCTAACCAGCCGCTTGTAAGAGCTGGTTGATTTTGTGCATGATACTTGTGAGCAGTTTTGGGAAAATGAGGAATACAATAATGTTGCTTGGTTGCTGCCCATGTCTCTGGACAAAGTGGTGGAGTAAAGATGGTCTCAGAATGGAAACGTCCCACTCCAGCGGCACACAAACGACTTAACATTTTAAGGAGGTGCTTTCAAGGAGAGCCTTACCTGCTGCAGCTGCAGACTGCCATTGCTAAGCTCAAGTCCACAGCCTCCCCCTCTGCTTGGCGGAGTCACGGAGCAGCTTGCTCTCCCTGCCTCCCAGGATGGGGACTGTGAGGATGAGGCTGACTGGGGAGAACGGAGTCCCGTGAGCTGGGATGAAGACGTGTGAGAAGATCTCAGTGAAGCGGAAGTGCCTGAGCCCTTCTGCTCTGATGAGTGCTCTTTATCCGTGCACCAAACTACCATAAAAGTGGCCTCCTCAGCCGTAGGCATTGCGCACACTCCGCTCACAGCGATACCTGCCTTGCCACCTCTGCCTGAGGAGACTGGCCCGCACATGGCCTGAGTAAACGGGAATGGCCTCTCCTAAAGCTCTTCCTGTTCAGAATAATGCTGCTTCTCCTCCGGATCCAATCCTAATGCTCTTCCTTGCTTCCAGACTTGTAGCTGGACTCACCAGTCCCAGAAGACTTGTAAGCATGAGGTGTGAGGTGTGACCCTTGAGGCTGTGTGTTGCTCTACAAAAGAACTACCTGAGTCTTCTGATTTATGTCAGAAGAAATCCAGGGAACATGTGTGGTAATGGATAATGAAAGGGGGGGATGGGTAACGTTGGGAGGGATGTAAAGTTTCTAATATGGAGGGAACTAGGGCAAGGAAGGTCTCTAATATGTAACTCAAACTTTATGCTGTTGATCTTTGCCTCTGGCTTCCCTAAAGGCACCCTTTCACCACAGTAGCTGTGCACTAGCGGAAGGGATATAGACCACGCGGGAACTGCTGATTGCTGCCTCTGAACTGCCCGTGGTTCCAGGGTACCCAAAGGGTTTGTGGCCTGCCTATCAGGGTAAGGTCACGTGGAGATCAGGTGATAAGAGAAGTGGTAGCTCAGGTCAACCTCAGAGCGGGTCTTGGGGGTCTCTGACCCGATCCTGTGGTTATTTTTCCAGTTCCAGAATGCATAATGGGAATAGCAAGCCTAGCAGCTGGCAGGAACCCGACGGTGGTTCCTTGACTTGTAGAGTGTGGTGGGCAAAACCAAGGCAGGCCGGTAAAAACGCTCCTGCCCTCAGAACGTTATAAATCCAAAGCAGTGCCACTCTCAGGAGGGTGCAGAGATCGAGTCCATCATCGCGGACTTGAAAGACGAAGGGATGCTAATTCTTGCTGCCTGCCCATTCGTCTCCTGTTTCGCCTGTGCAGAAGAAGACGATGGACCTTGGGAATGCGGGGATTATCATAAGCTGCACCACGTGGTGATGGTGACTAATGGCAGCTGCTGTACCAGATGGGATTTCCTTGCTTGAGCAAATGAATACATCTCCAGATACCTGATCGCAGCTATTAATTGGGCAGTTCCTTTTCTTTATCCCATT